AATATCAGACACATCCACAAGCTATTTATACAAGTCGATTATTGAATCTTTCAAAACTCCCTAAACCAGGTAATAACTTATTTCTTATATTTTTTAAAAGTTAATGATATTAACTATAAAAATTTCCGAATCTGTCAATATAGTAAATGCAGGTACGTAATGATATTTATTTTCTTAAATTAGATTTAAACTGTAAATTCAGTATAGTTATATACATATTTTAGTAAGTCAACCCAGTCAACCCATTGAAAACGTTGAAGTTCCCGACGGTAAGTATGATTTGATTTAATTATAATTAAACAAATTTATTGCTTATTTTTCTATTGGTATTTAGATTATTAAATCAATTAAAGGGAAGTTATTAAAGTCGGAGTATTCTATTTATTATTTCATACTGCAATAATTCAATGATTGTTATACATATTCATGTATACGTACCTAAAGAGATAACAATTTCGCTAACAACTGTTTGCAAGAAAGGTTGACCGATTTAAGTTAGGATTGGCCTGACTTATAGTTTAGTGCTGGCTAGATTAGATTGTTGGCGAAATGGTGGTTAGCAAGTTCTACTAAGGATATTATATAATAAAATTCCTAATTTAAATACAGTATATAAAATTTATTAAACGAATATTGAAACAATAAATATTAAATTACCTTTATTACTGTTGTTGATGGTAGCCTTGTTATTTTAAATAATATACGGATATATTTTATAAATTTTTTATTAAAGAAAAGCTATAAAATTAAAATCTAAATATTTAAGCTCCGAACCTCAACAATTTCTGTTTATTAGTATAATCAAAATCAAAATTATATTTTATCTCGAAACTGTGATCAATATTTTATAATCAATCCTTAGGAGAATATCTAGTTAGAAAAATAAAAGTGAAGTGAAAATTAGCCTCTTTACATTTTTTAAATGAAATTTAAGTACCATTTAGCCATTATCGAGGGACTATATTAAAATATGTAATAAATAAAAACCTCTAAGCAATGATTGGGTTCGAACACGTCTTGAAAGCGAATTCAGTTTAGACCTTTAAATGGGTTATGACCAGTCAATCTATATTCAATAAAATAGATAGATGAGAGTGATTAAATGTTAAATGTACAGTAAAACCCCCCGTAATAGTCACATACTAAAATCAGACATTCTATGTGCCTATCGCTACGTATTGCGAGAATTTATATAGTGTATATTAATAAATAAAAGAATCAAGGTGACTATAGCGGGATTGTGACAAATGCGGATGTGACTATTGCGGGTCCGTATTGATTCACCGACAATCACTTCACCGACAGCTCATTTAGACGACATCACGCCAGGTGAAATTTAGTAAAAATATATACCTGCAACTAATGAAATGCTTAACCCTAACCCTATGTGATGTCGGCTAAATGATCGTTCGGTGAAATGATTGTCGGTGAATTAAAGGGATCCCGAATACTAGTTATACTAGTTATATTGTAAGGCATAAATGTTAGCATAGAAGTGAAAACCCCTGACACAGGGACGATGATTTTCTGCAGTGATAAATTGATTGTTGATTCCGTACGTGATAAATTCAAATTCTGCAATTTCTGTGCTTTAAAGTTTATAAGTTCTGCTAACATCCGTGCATCAGAATTCACGAATTCTGCGTTGTTTATAATAACTTGAACATTCTGCAACCAAATTATTGCACTTTCTTCGGATTATTTCGGATAGACCATGCTCGTCTTTTAGGTTCATGTATTTTCTACGTCGGAACTTTGGAATTATATTTTACTTATATTGTTTACTTATAAACCCTACTTTCGTGATGTTTCCGTGCCATATCCCTACTTTCTGCGACAATTCCGTGATATTTTTAACGTATTCCGTGTTTTTAGCCAAATTTCGTGATTCTGCGGCATTCCGTGAAATGCAGAAAATTATCGTCCCTGCCCTGACATTACACTTGACCGATATCTACAAAGTCCGATCTGAACCAGTCAAATTGATTATACTACTCGACAAATCCGACTATACTGAAATAACAGTATTATAATATTTTGATAAACGACTATTAACTATAAATAAAAATGAATAGATCATAAGCTATGTCAACGTGAATAAGAATAAATCCAATGAGAAGTAAATAAATATGAATGACACCAAGAAAAATCCGAACTTCGATCATATGGACAAAGATTATCTGCATTGATTAACGTAAATATAATAACTTGTCACTACACTTATTGAAACGCTTATTGAAATAATTGGAGAAATACTTATGTATCGGCAACACCAGGGCGTAGGATCGATTTGACTATCACGTGATTTTCCGAAATCAATAGTCTTTGAACAAAAAATTTAATTTATGTTAGGGTTTTGGCGTTAGTTAAAGTTAGAAAGAAGGATACTATAGCAAAATTGCACGAGGAAATTTTTTTGTTAGAAACGAAATGTCGATTTACTAGTGTAAATTTTAAGATAAACGTGATTTTGCAAAGCGAACGGTTTGTTTTGAAATTTTTACGTTGCACCAGATCTTGAAATTTAATTGGCTAATTGTTGTCGGAAAATCACATGACAGTAAAATCGATCCTACGCCCTGGTGTTGCCAAAAGTTGATGTAATGATTCTTAATTAGAGCTGTTAAAATCTGTATTCCAATATTTAAACTAAAATTTTCAGATTTTGTATTGAAAAATTTTTCAACATTGCTCATAATTTGAGTCATTCATTTTCTATTTTAAAAAAATACATGCCTGTCAAAGCTAAGCCACACAGATCAGATGACCTTAATAAGAGCTTTACTATTTATGTAGTATATTATACTATATTGTTGTAAATAACAGGCTGGGGCATTATTTAGAAAATTGACCCTCTAATAATAATATATATGATTTCAAAATAATGTTCTGGTGCATCTCTAAATAATGCACTTCCAAAAAATGCTTCAGAAGTAAGTTTACTTAGTGCCAAACTTACTTAAAAAGTTTTTATCTTGTTTCAAAATAAAACCTTGGCGCATACTCTAAATAACGTGCCTATACTCAACATAACGTGATGAGGTGTGTTATTTCGTGATAATACAGTAATATCTTCTTATATTAGGTAATATATAGTAGCATTATAGTAGGTTTTTGTGTGGTTTGAATTCTGACCCGGGTTAAAGTAATTCTTGACCCGTGATCTGTTGATTTGGTGACCCGTATGGTTCAACTGACCCGAGTAATAACTCTAAATAAAGCATGAATGTTATTTTAATAAAGTATATATGAGTGTCGCTAAAAGACAACCCGAAAATTTAAATATGACTTATATTTAAATTTTCAGGTTTTCTTTTAACACACTCATAAATAGCATATAAAAAATAAAAGGTTTATTCTTAAATATTAACTCTGACATTTTTTTATTTGTTATAAAAGTTTTTAGCATGAAGAGTAGAATAATAATTTTTGGTTGCGACGACAGTTTTGTTGAGGATCCAAAAATAATAAATGAATATTGAGCTTGAGCAATCTCTTTGATTACTCTATCAATGATAAATTTTAACCAATCAATGCAACTTTGAAAAATTGGTGGTCGCAGCTCCAGGTTTTTTTGACCCAAGTTATGATTACGATCAATTTTTTGACCAATCATACCATTCGGTAGACTATTGAGGTAGGCACTTGAGAACGGCCTAAATAAGCAAAGTGTTTTTTACAATTTTACTTAACATGATATGATATAGCCAGTTAATATTAAGATATAATATTCAGTTAATATTAGGATATAATATAGTCAGTTAATATTAGGATATGATATAGTTACCGTAAAAGCCTGACTTGTGTACCTAGGTATATCCCTAACTCATACCTGCATCCAGGGTGCTCGTGTAGGGTGATACACCTATTGAGACGAATATATTTTATTTTATCTACCTAATATTATACAATAGCATATATTGTACTTGAATATCTGGGTATAATATAGTCAGATAGACCTCGATATAAGCACCAGGTTGGGAAACAAAAATTTGGCGGTTATAAAAAGTGTATACTTTTTATAATGGCTAGGATTAAGATAATGACTATAACAAAGTCGTGATTAAAACAAGAGTGATTATAACGAGATCTGACTAATATTAAAAGAAAGTACAGTATTCAATTATATAATTTTCTTTCAAAAACCTACCTGAAAGTGTTTATAGCAAATAACTTATAAAGTTTTGTATCAATTATTAACTGTTCTTGCTGATTATGTGAATCAACTAATTTTATATGGTTCATCAATGGCTGTATTAGAATCCCTGAAATTAAATTATTTATTATGAGTTGTTTTCCGTCACATTGTTTTAATACTAGATAGTTGACTTCTGAACTATATTTGTTTATAGTCAACTTTTAATAAAGAATGGGAATATTTATAATAATAACATGTACCGTATATTACCGAATAGAAGCTACCAAAATTTTGAGAGTTTTTTCGGACTAAAAAGAGGGAGTAGCTTCTATTCGGGTCCAATTTTATTATTAAAACATAATAACTTCCTCCAAATTTTTAATCCAAAATCGAGGGGGTAGCTTCTATTCGATAATATACGGTACTTTTTTATTGTTGCACCCTGCCAGGTTATGTCGATCATTGTGGCGCAGATCCCTGATCCACAAATCGGATTTCAAGAATCAGGTGTAACGTAACACGATCAGGAAATTCCAACGTTCGTTTTGTCCAAAATTTCTTATTTCTCAAGAATCGGTATAACAAACCACCTTTAGTGCTCTAATAAAAAGTTTCCTTGAGTGAGTTTACTATATAACTCCCTAATCTTTAACTTCATTCTAATGAATTTTAACGAATTTTCTGCTTACGACATAACCTGGCACAGAAATGGGGTGCTATTTTATCCTATTGGCTGATTTTGTCGATCATCGGAACATTCCCAAAACGGATATTTTGAAAAACGAGTTTGGTGATATGGGCAATGTTTATATTGTTTTCCTTTTAGGGTTTGTTTAGGCGCTCAAATAAATTTGTGAAGCATTTATTGTTGCATGCTGTTTGCTAATTATAAAATTGACTTTAAATCAACTCTCCAACAACGAAAGAAATCTAATAGATTCTCTGTATATCCAAAAATATTTGCTTATCTTTTACTTCATCTGTCACAATATAATTTTTCACTATGCGACATATTATGTACAAATTATTCATTCTTTGGATGGCCTTCATTTTTGGTTTATGATTTTATTTAATAACCTCAGACGAGCCTTATCTTATTAAGAATATAAAGAATACAACGGATTACACAAAAGTAGAAAATGAGAACCATGTGGATATAGTGAATGTGGATACTGTGAAGAAATACGAGGAAGTGAAATATTTAGAATTTGATCTAATATATAATTAATATGTTAAGAAGCATAATAGTATAGTTTTTTCCAAGCTATTAGGGCCATCTTCCAAACCTAATACATCAGAACTTCCAAAAGTTGTTGTTGTCCAAACAGATTTGACAAAAGGATACGGAAACCGAATACCTCCATTGGTTTGTGGTTTTATATATTCACTATTGTCCGATAGGTTATTCTTCATTGATGGATATGATAATTTCACAGATTATTATGAGAAAGACTTTGAACTCGATTGGAAAATTGTTGAAAATATGTATAAAAATAGCACCTCTAGACATTTACATAAACGTAATATACTTAATGACTTTCAGTTGATGGCGACTGGAAACCTTAGCAATGATAAAACAGATATTTTATATGTTGCCACATGGGATTACGTATGTGCTCTAATAACGTCAAACCCTCATTATAAGGAATGGTTTAATAAATTAATACCTGATTCTAGAGTTTTTACAGCAATCAGCCTAAAATTACTAAGATTGCATCCAAATATCAGCAAACAAGTAGAGATTTTTGCGGACAATAATTTTAAAGATTATAATATAGGTATTCATGTAAGAGAGAAAAAGACAACAAATCGTTTAAAAACACCCATAGAACATTTTAGTGAGGTAGTGAAAATGCTGATTTTAGGAATGAAAAACATGAATATAACTATCTTTGTGGCTGCTGATAGTAATAATGGTCGTAAAAAATTAGTAAATTTTTGATGAAATAATTATTTATAATAACAATTCTATTAATATAGTTCATACTGATGACAATATGGATGCTCCAAATCCTTATAATTCGAACACTGGTACGGAAATAGGTGCTCTTATCGATATGAAGTTGCTTAGTTTGTGTGATGATTTGGTGATTACATATGGTTCAACATTCGGTTATACTGCTGTAGGATGGTCGCCAAAAGTGTCTCACCGAAAAGGTCCATATGTCGTAATGCCAATAAAAAACTCGAGTGATGATTTTACGACTTCAGATAAGGTTTGGGTGTACGGTGCTACATCAAATGAGCCTTGCATGTACCTAAGCAAGTGGGTACTCGATAAAGCAGATAAGGAAATTTCTAGAACTTTTAAGTCAAATCCGTTATGGATGCATTATAGTCAATGTCATTGGCCAATATAGACAATAAGTATTAAAATTTATTAAAATTTTCCTACTTGTTATGTGTCACGTGTCGTTCTTTCTAACCGATGGTCCTAAGGATCAGAAAGGGAAATTTGGTCATTAGAGATTTCAGAATAATTTATTTGACAAAGCCTATTAGATTATCAAGTGAAATACGCAAACCTGATATCTTGTTAAAATTAATATAATTATTTAAATTTTTACATATTTTTATTCTTTAAAACAATTAATAATTGGTTAAATAATTTTTGAAAGATAAAAAATTACTAAGTAAAACCCTTTCTTACTTCTAAGTTGTAGAGATGGTTTTTTTGGTTTAATAATAGTAAGATTATTAAAATTAGCTTGGTAGATTCCAATCTATATATAAAGATGCCAATTTTTGATGCTTATATAATCAATTTGATTGGCTAATTTTTGTGTAATTGATTTTGATTGGTTAAAAATAAATATTTTTTCTTTTTTTCTATATTAAATACCAATTGTTTGAACTTATATAAACTTTAATTCTTTATCACTTTTTCAAAACAAAGAATAAAAAAAATCTTTTGACAGAAACATAGTTTATTTGAAAATCTATCAACTTGTCAGAGTTTTTTGATTTAGGTTGTTTAGGTTGTTTTAAGAAAATTATAAAATTTTAAAGTTTTACTAATAAACATTGGATATATTTTACTATCTGGTATTGTACAAATATTATTATAATAATATTTTGTATAATTAGTAATTTACAAATCTTTATATTTGCATTTTAATCTCAAGTATTCTGAAAAGTATTAAGCTGATTTCATAATTTAATTACTATTAAATAAAAAAAATATTTTATAATTTTACTTATATTAGCAAAATTTTATTTACTATCAGCTCTTTTTGATGATTACTTATATTTACTAGTTACTGAAGCAAGTTGAAAACTCAAGAATGGAAGTCAACAATAACTAAAGTTTTTATAAACAGTTGTTAACAAAGTCTTTAAACATGATTTACTGAGAAGCAGGCATTTTGGATAGTTTACAAAGAGGTAAGCTTTTTTGGTTTTTAAAGTAGACTTCTCTTTGTATTTAGTATTCAAACTAATGATGTCTAACAAAACTATTTTTATAATAATACAATGGTTTGTCAAATTATTCATCAAATGAAACCTTGGTGAGTAACAAAACTATTGATGTTTGATAAAACTACTGACATTTGACAAAACTACTGATGATTAATAAACCTATTGACATTTGACGAAACTACTAACAATTGATGAAACTCTTGATGAAATTAATTTGACCAATCAAATATAATAATGTAGTTGACTATCTTTTAACAAGTTCCTTTATTACTTTCTTTAGATATTCTGAATCTTAAATTTTCAAAATTACTGTTCTTTTATTAAAACATTTTATTAATTCTTTTTTTGTCTAATCTAATACCCTAATAATGATATTTGATGAAACTATTTTTGCAATAATAAAATAGTTTCATCAAATTGCTCATTAAATAAAATATTAGTGATAATGAACCTATTAAAATTTAATAAAAATATTGACTTTTGATGAATTATTAATGTTTGTCAAAACTATTGATGTTTGATGAAATTATTGAAGACTGATGAAATTATTGACAAAATTATTAAAATTAAAAAAAATTACTTTACAAAAATTAGCAAATGAATTTATTTTAAATTTTGATGACATGTTTTTGTGAAGTGCTATAGGTAAATTTTCTACAGTATTATTTTCAACTCTATAATATCTAAATTATTACTAATATATTTATATTCATTATCTAAACTATTTAAACTATCATTAGGATCCTCATTATTTTCACAGTTCTACTCTTTTACTAATTCTGCTGCTAAATCTGTAGAATCAAAATCAAAAACTTCATGTTCTATTATACTATTAACTATATTTTTAATTTTATTAAATTCTTTACCATCAATTTGTAATTTTTACTACTATTATTTGATTTATTATTTTGAAAATTTTTATCATTTAAAAACATCATATTTTCAATATCAAATTGTTCTATAATATTTGAATTATATTCTATTTCTTTATTAAAGTCTTTAACAATTTTATCTTTAAACATTTCATCTCTTTAATTAAACATGTTGCTAATATTATTTGTTCATACAAGTCTTTAGATGACAAGCTTTTACCAAAAAAGGTTAATTCTTTTTTAGTATTTAAAATTTAAAAAGATCAAACCTGTGTTATAGCTTGAACCTGAAAAAGAAAAAATTCTTTGCCTTCACTTTTCATATAATCAATCTAGTGAAGAAAAGTTCTTTTACAATTAACAGAATTAGGAGTGACTAAGAAAATTTTGATTGCAAGATTTTCAAATGATTTAAATTTAGTGCTATTGGTCATCCACCATAATAGAAATATATCTTTTTCAAAACTATAAGGTAATAGTACCTATTTTTAGAAAATTTATTTTGTTATATTTAAAATTTTTTAAAATTTAATAATTTTTTATAAAATATTATATATAAAAACTATTATTTATTTATTATTTAATAATATATAAAATATATTAAATTTATATATATATAATTTTTTTACTAACATATTTATATACTATAAAATTTATTTAAATTCAATTACTGTGTTCCTATTTCTAGAAATTTAATAAAACTAATCTAAAAAATTTAAAATCTAAAATTTTTTTTAGATTATTATTTTTTATGATTTAATCTTACTTTTCTATTTTTTTTGTTACTCTTTGTTCTCTTCTTAACTTTATTTCTTTAAGTTTTTTTTGTTTAATATTTTCTCTGTCTTGTATTTCTTATGTAATTTCTTCATAAGTTATTAAAGTTCTAAATTTAAAAGTTTAGGTCGAGTTGCTGGTTTTTTTTGAACTGAAGATGTGTTTGCAGATAGATATTTCATAATTGTTACTAATGAACAAGTTTCTAGATATTCAAGTCTTTGAATTTGTTTATGTAATTTTTGATTTTCTTTTTCAAGCTGTGCAAGTTTAAAATTTCTTGTAATATAGTTATGTTTAGATTCAAAAGATACTGAATTTAATTTTTTAGTTAGGGTGTAGTGACTTAGTGAAGTTGGTAAGTTGTCACCCCTTCAAATGGCAGGTCTAGAGTTCAAATCCCACTGGCAACAATTTTGAAAAATAAGATTTGTTTCGGTAACATTTATTCGACGATCGGTTGGG